TTTTCGGCTAGATCTGCACAGTTAACTCTTTGCGCACTGCACACTGACATAGAGTATTTTGTTCACGGGAGCATCAAAAATATTACGCCGAAAGCATTTCTTCAAGTGTTATTTTTTTTAAGATGTCATATTTGTCAGCGTTTCCAAAATTTTCTTCTTTGCACAGGTCAACTAATTTTTCGTAAACCGCATTTTAAAATTTTTGTTATTGTATTTTTTACTTTTTAATTTTCTAAGGCATGAAAAAATTCCATATAGGTTTCTATGAATTTATTAACGAAATCAACTGATAACTTGCGCGCCATTTTGTGTTAATTAACACCAATAGTGATTATGATAATTTTATAATTATCATTTTAATGAAATTGGGTTCTTCACTTCGCGAACGACAGCAAACAATTTAAAATTACCGCTAGTCAAGCACCTGAAAATCCATCTCTCCCAAATATGTCTTTCTTGACACGATTTGTAATCCGAAGTCTCCCTCCACATGCAATTTTTCGTCGCCTGAGAACTTGTTTGATCTACAGACCAAAGCACACTCAGGCCAATATCGGCTTTAAGCGATTTATCTATAAACCGATATTCGTTAGAGTTGATGTGATACACATCCACTACGAAGAACTAACCCATTTCGACCATTGGACTTTACAACGAATAAGTGAACAAAGTTCTTGAACATCTTAACGATTTAATACCTACATAATGTTCCCGAATGACAAAATTTACATTTCAAATTGTATTATCAAATTACACCCTCCAAAATTTGTCACGAACAATGAAATGACGCAATCTCCAAATTTTACAATAGTAAAATTGTAGTTTCGCCCCGTTTACGGTTTATGCATCCGTGTCGAGTCACCTTAGACGTCAAGATTTTTGAAAAAAAAAATCAACATTTTCCAATTTATAATGTCATTTAAATTTTAAAAAGTAGAATAGTCCTGATCTTGTGATTTATGCCTAAATACGCTATTGGGATTTTTCGGCTTGATGATTTCTCGATTTTTCAACTTTAATGTCTCAATTTTTCAATATTTCAATTTTGGGCTTTTCCGATTCCTCCATTCCTTAAATTTTCTATTTCTCGATTTTTTTATTTTTCGATTTCTCAATCTTACGATGTTTCAATGATACGATTTCTCAATTTTTGTCCTCTTCAATTTTACGGTTTTTAAATATGTCGATTTTTCAATTTTTCAAATTTTCACGTTTCTAAATTTTCAGTTTGCCGATTTCTAAAGTATTTTTTTTATTTTTCCATTTCTGGATTTCCTAAAGTTTCGATTTTTCACATCTTCAATTCCTCAATTTTTCGATTTTTTAAGATTACGATTTTTCAATTTTGCTTTTTTAGATTTTCGATTTCTCAATTTTCCAATTTTTTAATTTCTCAATTTTTTGAATATTTCTTTCAGTTATGAGATTTTTCAATATTTCAATTTTTCGACTTTTCGATTTTTGAATTGATGGATTTTTTTTGATTTCTCGCTTTTTTCCTTTTTGGATTTTAAATTTATTGTAAACTTTAGATTTTTCAATTCTGGGACTGTTTAATGCTTGGATTTCTCAATTTTTAAACTTTTCGATGTTTTAATATGTATTTCATTTTTTAAAATTCTAGGTTTTTCGATATCTCGAGTTTTCAGTTTTTCTATACATATTTCAATTTTTCAATTTTTCAATTTTTTGAATTTTAATTTTTGATTTTCCAGTTTTTCTTTTTTAAAATTTTTCGATTATTCAATTTTTTAATTTCTCAATTTATCGAATTCAGATGTTTCGTTGTTTTGATTGTTCAATTTCTCAATTTTTCAATTTTTAACTTTCCTTTTCGGTTTCCGACTCCTCAATTTCTCGATCCTCCCATTTTTCGATTTCTCGAAGTCTCAGTTTTTGAATTTTTCTATGTTTCGATTTTTGGATTTCTCGGTTTTTCGATTTTTTTCTTTTGAGCTTTTCAATTTCTGGATTTTCCAATTTTTCAATGCCCCGATTTTTCAATTTTTCAAATTGAATTGGATCTCTCGATTCTTCAATTTTGCGATATTTTAATTATTCATTGTTTTAAATTTTAGTTTTTTCGATTTCTCGATTTTTTGACTTTTCAGTTCTTCAGTATTTAAATTTTTGAATTTTTCAAATTTTTGCGTTAAATTTTCAGTTTTCTGATTTCTCAATTAATCTATTTTTGATTTTCCCACTTCTCAAAGTTTCGATTTTTCAGTTCTTCAATTCTTCGATTTTTCGACTTCGCTTTATTGGTTTGTCGATTTCTCAATTTTTGGATATTTCTTTCAGTTTTGATATTTTTTCAATACTTCGATTCTTTCATTTTTCGACTTCTAGATTTTTCAATTTTTTATTTTTGGATTTTCAGTTTTTTGTTTTTTATTTCAATTTCTCAATTTTTCAACTTTTTCATATTTTAATTTTTAAATTTCTAGATTTTTCGGTTTCTCGAGTTTCCAGTTCTATATTTTAATTTTTTAAATTTCCGAATGTTTAAATTTTTTGAGATCTCAATTCATTGAGATTCGGATGTTTCGATGTTTTGATTATTCAATCTCTCGCTTTATCAATTTTTCCATATTTAAGTTTTCGATTTTTCGATTTTGGCCTACTTCGGTTTCTCAGTTTTTTTATTTTTCGACTTCTCGATTTTTCGACTCCTCGATTTTTTTTGTCTTTTGATTTTTCGATTTCTCGATGTCTCAATTTCTGAATTTTACAATGTTTCGATTTTTCGATTTGTTGGTTTTTCGATTTTTTGTTTTTCGGTTTCTCGATTTTTCGATGTTTCGATTTTTGATTTATCCGATTTTTCAATTGTCCAATTTTTTAAATTCTCGACTTCGTTGATTTTTTAGTTTTTCAATTATTAAATTTTAGATTTTTTTTTTATTTTTTTATTTTTTGATGTTTGGATTTCTCAATTCTTCAGTTTTAGGATATTTTAACTTTTCAATGTTTTAAATTTTAGATTTTTCGATTTTTTAGTTCTTCAATATTTTTTTATTTTTCAAATTTTGACGTCTCTGAATTTTTAGTTTTCGGATTTCTCAATTAATCTATTTTTTTATATTTCCATTTGACTTCCTAAAGTTTCGATTTTTCAGTTCTTCAGTTCTTCAATTTTTCGATTATTCAGGATTTTGATTTTTCAATTTTTCGATTTTTTAAGTTTGCGATTTTTAGACTCTGTTTTTTTGACTTTTTTGTTTCTCAATTTTTTAATTTCCAAATTTTTTGATATTTCGTTCAATTTTGTGATTTTTCAGTTTTTCGATTTCTCAATTTTAACTTTTCAATTTTTGAAATTATTAATTTTTTTCGATTTTTTGAGTTTTCAGTTCTCTATATTTCAATTTTTCAATTTTCGGAATTTTTAAATTTTCGATTGTCCAATTTTTTTTTATTCGATTTTCCAATTTTTCGATGTTTCGATTTTTGAATTAACCGATTGTTCAATTTCTCGATTTTTAAATTTTAGATTTTCCAATTTTCATTTTTTTTATTTTTTTATGTTTCGATTTCTCGATTTTACAATGTTCCCATATTTGAATTTTTCAGTGTTTTAAATTTTCGATTTCGAGGATTTACTGTGTTACAGTAGTCATCAGTCATTACTCATCAAGAACGATTATTGCTGTGCGTTAAAATGCCTACATACTGATAAGCACGTACATACAAGACACATTTAAGGCTGTTTTAGTATAATTTTTGCAATTTTAAATTTATTTCTTGATGTCTAAATCGTATATATTTAAATGGTGATGAATATTTTGTGATACAATCTTAGGATAAAATGCATTTTAGTTTCAAAAATAATATGTATTTAATGATTTGACTACTGTTAATAAAAAAAATACGTAAGAAGATGTTCATATTGAATGAATTTGGTGTTCATAGTTTGATGATAATCCATAGTTATTCTGGAGGCAAATTAAATGACTTGTTACTTATTAATTAAAGTAGTGGTCGTTTAATTTCGTATACCTTTAAAGTGGACGAAGGGACGCATATTTGTTAGCCATGCAGTTCATGGATAATAGGTATACCGCGATAATATTAAATTTTTGTTACCTTAACCTTGAAACAGGTATGCACTACATATACATATATTACATATATGTAAAGTCTTCAACACGTACGTTTGCTTATTTTGTGACTGCTCCCCGTACAACGTACTGATTAATACGTCCGTTTACTACCTTATCGACATCACGTGCTTACGGACTATTTTTACCCCCTTTCGTAAGGTACCGCCACTTCATGGTGAAGCGAGTAAGATGTAAAATATATATTCATTCTTTTCTACATGGGAAAGTAATTGTCCGTATAGGTTGTCCAACTATAATATACTTAAACAATGCTACTAGTGTCATAATTTCCATTTTCCAATGGCTCATGAATCGTTACGCTATTTTTGTTTCTTTCTACCAAGTATAACTGTAGCCTCTTGCAATACAGGACTTGTGAATTGTGACAGGTGACAAGCGGTAACAAATATCAAAGTAGTGCTAAAACAGTCCCTAATTCAAATTTCCAAATGGGTTGAAAAATCTTGAACCGCGTTACCATTTTACAACTGTACCCAGACTGGACACATGCAACTCTTAGCAGTTTTAGGTAGAGTATGACGAAAGATAGGGCGCAGTTATGGCTTAATTGTTACTCAACATGGGGTAATTTTTACGACTTCGTCAAAGTGAGCTGTAATAAAACTGTTTGCTTGGCCAGACTTCCCATACTGTAATAAAGTAAATAAAGAATATTTCACTACGGTACGTGGCCTACCTAAATATTTGTGTAACGTACCGTGCCGTTTGCTTGTGATTATTGAATTTTATAAGGGATTTGTTGCAAAATGTTTATGAAGTTATAGTCGTAGACGTACTATATCTTTAGTCGAACTCTACCATTTTGACTATGTATGTAAATTTAATTACTTATTATTTTTTTATTTATGTATATCAAAATAATTCTTTTACTTGTAGCAGAGTTCAGGATACTCCTTCGAGTTCAAACTATCGTACAAATTTCTTAAGCTAAGTGACGCGCGTATTCGTTATGGCAACGCAACACAGCGTTCCTATCGTGGCAAACTGAGCACAGGGACGTATTGCGACCGTTTATTAGAAGGCTGTTCACGTCGCCCTTGTCGCATCCAATCTCCTAATTATCCAGGGATTTACCCTAGAAATGTCAGTTGTCATTACCGAGTCAGGGAACGCAACGTTCCAAATGGAAAACATGCTCTTATCGCAGTCAGACAAGCGAATTTTCACTACAAGGAGCATTTGCCCAAGTTCGATAACAGCGACAGAGTTTTGCGGTAAATCGCCAAATAGATCTGTTTCACAGTAACTCATCTATTTTTCTTTTAGAATATGGGATCAGTGTAACATGATGCAAGACTATGTTGAGATTTTGGACGGGTGGGGACCATCAGCTACAACACTAGCACACTTATGTAGCGGTGAAACTGTGCCGGAAATTATCAGCAGCGGCCCGGAACTTCTAGTCAAGTTTCATACTTCACCCTTCGGAAATCCCTTCCACCCACTACCGTTGTCGTATTTACCGGGATTCGAACTGGAGATTGAAGTAAGAAACCACAACGGCGATTCAAATAAAAAAAAATTGTAATTGGCTGTGTTGTCGGGATAATTTGACGTAAATACACCTTATTTGCTTTCATTAATCAAAATTTGTTCCTAATTAAATATTCGCAATAAGAAAACCTTGCTGACACGAGACTGATTTTATTTTCATGGTTACATAAATTTGATATTTTTCACTTTTACATAAGTGATTTGCTAACCGCAAATTCATGTCTTGCTACTGTTTTTCGAAACCTTGGCCAACTTCTAAGGACTTCATTTGAAGAACCGTTGTAAATATTTTTTTATATCAAAGAGACCGACATGATGTAACTTGATTGTTGACTGCCGGTAGGACTGCAAGTCTTTGTTGAAGTTGAGTGGGAGAATTTATCTGACGTAATAGTTAATGTGAATAATCGATAGTGTTGCCAGAACTAGCAGAATTCCGGTACCGATAGCGGAATTTTGACCTAAGGGCGCCGCAAAATTTATGTCTGCAAAATTCTGATGAATTTTGCAGACATAAATAATAATGACCTGGCTGTATTTATTTAAAATCTAATATTACAAAAATTAGTGGAATTTTTTCAAAATATCTGTGTGAAAATGGGGAAGACTTTCCTTATCCGGATATTCAGGGTGGTATGGAATTGAATGCAAAAAATTTAAACGGTGAGAGAACTCATTATTCGCGTAAATTTTCTATACAACATTTTATTCAAAACTCTGTTGTTCAAGAATTAAAACTGAAAATAGGTGGACTATTAAAATGATTCCCCGCCTATGTGTACTTCTTCAATGCAACAAAAACGATCCGCGCTTCATAAAAACGCCCCCTTATATCAGATAATAAAGTCGTCGCCCACATGTGTGTTCATGAAAAAAAGCATAACAAATACAAGAAAACCTATTTTATTCCCCAAAGGGCTAATTTATTAACAGCAAAAAAATACATGTTGATCACCGTAGTACCGTACGTTGGCACAAAAAAAAAACATAAAATATCGGATGGAATTACACAGAATTCTTGCAAACTTGCAACACTCGACAATGGTTTCACTTCAACAATAGCAATAAAAATCAACAATATATAGATAAGTATGTAGTACCGCATTTCACTTACTTATAAAAAATGCTCAAAATGCCGCCTTTCTCTATTAATGCATACTTGAATTCGCCGGGTCATTGAAGTCTGTATCCTCTCGCTCATAGCCGGATTTTGACGAACTGTTCCTGCTACAGCATTCACACGGACAGTTCGTTCTTCCACTGAATCCATAGAGGTCACGTACACTAACTCGTTCAGATGTCCCCACAAAAAAAACACAGGGAATTAAGTCCGGGGAACGAGGAGGTCACAGCGCTGGCATTGATCTATTTCTGCCAATGCACTTCCTTTCAAAATGCACATTTAACAACTGGGTAATTTAAGTTTCTACCGTTTGCACATGTAAAAGTTGATATGGATGCTATCCTTGTTCGTCAAGGGTCGACCATACAATAAAGATCTTTTTTTTTGCAAAACTGCAAAAATTATTAATTACAATTATTGTAAAAAATACAGTACTCGTAGTGCTAGGTACCGAGGAAAGGGTGATGATTACTGTCCTGACACTTATCTACCAGATGCAATCGCCCAGGTATTGTGTGGCACTCTCCGCGCGCAGTAATGTCGACCACTCGATGCGGTCAGCTACATCGAGTGCAGTGGCGGGACCTGATACTCGCGTGATTGCAAATTATAAAAAACGTTTCTAGCTAATACGACCTGCCAAATGACCACTCTGCACGTGGATGTAAACACTGAGGGCCTCATGCAAGTAATAAACATCGACCACTGGGCTATCGCTGCTACCCCCGATACCTGACCGTCCGACACGTTTACGCCAAGGCATCCTCTCTCTCGCGCGCGCCACTGTTACGTACTTGGTAGATAGTTGTCAGGACTTTAGTGATGATACTGATCAAGTACGGTTTCAGAGATGTTCCTGATTTATGTTTTATAATTATTTCTGTTCTTCTATGCTAGATTTTAACAGCATAGGTAGACCTGTGCCATAAGCGTGATTTTAGTTGTTATATTTAGTTTTATTATTTGTATTTTTTTCAAGTTCATAATCTGACTTATGCAAAAACTATGTTACAAGCATCAATAAAATATTCTATACAGCTGGTGAACGAGCAGGGTGATTGGTGATTTTAATGTTTTTTAACTGCTTAATTTCAACCACGTACCTACTTAAAACGTATTTTTTCTCACTTGAGAATTTTTGAACCATTCTGTATTCTTGTTGGTATTCCACCTTTACTGATGGTAAGAAATAGATTTCGATGCGGTCACCTCTGCGTTCATCACCTTTTCAACTTCATCTTAAAAAAAAGGAGACAACTAGCAGCTTCATTTCCCATTCAGGCTAGTTCTCTAGCCGTATGCTGTAAAAACTTCAGAGGTATTTCGTCCCATAAGCTTATCATATTCAAATATTCTGTATCATTAAAGTCGCTTTGTTAGCTATCTGCTTGTATAATGTTTCTTTTAGCATTTCCAAATGTGTTTCCAAATTCTTCAAAATACATTTCTTGTAGCAATTCGGCTGTTGTATTCCACAGCACTTTAACAGCAGTTCCCTGATCTTGACCTGAAGAATTTTGCTAATATCATCTGTTAAGGAAAAACTTCCCTCTGTACAAGGTCAATTGTAACTAACTTACTCAATACACAGAAAAAATCACTATGGCAATTAGTCAGGGATTTAAGGTACCTAAAATCTGCACGGGCTTCAGTAAGGCATTTGACAAAATTAATCACACTGTTATTATTAGTAAAGGGTGATCAAACAGTTTTCAGATCAGAGTTCTTTTTCAAGATTATGCATGCCATTCCATTGCCAAGTCTAATCTGAAAACTTTTTAGTCAGTACTGTTGTTGTTTGTATTACACTACACCTATCCAAATGGACATACATTTCCTTGCAAAAATGTTGATTAAGTCATCACAAAATTTTAGAAAGGAAAACTAATTTGAAACATACGCATAGCACACTTCTTTGCACTTACACGCATTATACAGGGTGTTCATTTTACCTGTTACACATATTATGCACCCCAGGGACCACTTCGTCCAATTTAATTTTTTTTAATAAGTAATCATAGCAATCATAGAAAAAAAATGACGAAGATGTCAATGTCAAATAATGACAAAATTTAAAAAATTAACACTCAATTTATTAATGGATCAGATTACAACGAAAACAAATTTATAATAAATGTTCAAAGTGCCTGCCTGCACTATCTTCACAAAGTCCTATCCTACATTCAAAATTTCTATGAACTCTATCTAACATGTCGGGAGTTATAGATCTGCATGGCGCTATTATGTTTTCCCGTAAGTGGTTTTTATTTTCGATTGGGACACTATACAGGTTGTTTTTGAAATACGTTACCAAAAATTAATGAAGGTCTTTGGCATCCTTAAGGAATCGAATTGAGTAAGTCTCAATCTTTTTTTAATGATGAAAAAAATCACCTCTAACCACCTGCTTAGAACACCACTGATGAAAATATCCACGTAAATTGATTGCATTTAATTTGAATACAAACCTAGCAACGAATTTAAAATTATTTTGAATCAAAATGCATAGTAAGCAAAGGTAAAGTCAGATTTGACAATTCGAAAATCCTTGGATTTTGAAAAGTAATCTTGCCTTTTACATTAAGATTGAATAATTACAGAAGCGAGTAGTGAAACGAAAACGATTTATTTTTTATAGAAATTGCTCAAAATACCGACCATCATTCGCAATGCATGCCCGAGCTCGACGAATTAATGATCCTTGCGCTCTTCTTATCATGTCTGGATTTGCTCTGATAGTAGCCGAAACATCATGAATCCTATTTGTCAATTCTTCAATGGAATTAATAGGTGCCGCATAGACTAATTGCTTCATATGCCCCCATAAAAAATAATCACAAGAATTTAGATCTGGTGACCTAGAAGGCCACCGTACTGGACCGTTTCTTCCGATCCATTTTCTTGGAAATGTTTGATTTAACCATTCCCGCACGTCATGTGTATAGTGGGCAGGGGCTCCATCATGTAAATACCACATATTCCTCCGGGTAGCTAAAGGTACATCCTCTAAAAGATTTTCCAACGTATTATTCAAAAAATTAAGATATGCAGCGCGAGTTAACCGTGGAGGTAAAACATATGGACCTATCAAGTGATGTCCTACCATACCTGCCCACACGTTTACGCTAAATCGTTCTTGAAAGTGCCCCTCATGAATTTCATGAGGGTTTTCATCACACCAAACGTGTGTATTATGACAATTAAATACCCCGTCTCTCGTAAATGTTGCTTCATCCGTCGACAGCAAGTTTCCAATAAACTGTTGATCTTCATCATTTTAGGTCAGTCATCAGGTAAATCAGCTTCTTTGAGAGCTTGTACTCGTTGCAAATGATACGGATGGAGTCCTTGTTCTCTTAATGTACGCCAAACGACAAATGGGGAAACACCAACTCTGTAGGACAGCCTTCTGACACTGATACTTGGGTTTTCTTCTACCATATTTAAGATCTCAGGTTCAGCAGCTAATGTCCTTCTAGTTCTCTGTCGGCCACGATCTGTCATTTGGGGACGATATTCAGCGTTGTCTCTAAGATGCTGAACGGTAGCGGTAAATGTATGATGATCGGGCACAATTCGTCCAGGAAATGTTTCCCTATAAAGACGTTGTGCTTCACGAGCGTTTCCAAGGGCCCTTCCATACAGTAGGACCATATCAGTTAATTCAGCATTTGTGTAAACCATTTTGATACAACTGACACAAAATTGACAACAGTACCCTGCCAAATAAAATTTTTATTATTGCTAAGCGAACAAGATGGCATTTTGAATTACCTTTAATACAGTGGCGTACTGGAAATTTTGACCGAATATTCGATTAATTTTATCTCGAAAACGAAAAAACTTTTATATAAAGTATTTTTTGTCAGTTAGTTCTATTTATCATCACCAATTACCTGCTCTCTTTTGGTAGTGTATTTCAAAAACACCCTGTATATAATAGTATATTATTAGCCAAGGTCGCAAAGCCAAGCATTCTAGACCGAGCGCAAATTAGAACCCGAGACGCGCAGCGTCGAGGGCTCTGAAGCGCGAGGTCTAGAAGTGACTTTAGAACCGTGGTTAATATACTATTTTTTTCACTAGTAGAAACCATAAGACAATAAATTGAAAAAATGAAAGTTTAATATTTTGACGCATCATGATTTTGTTTTGATTTCTAATCAAACTTAATCTAAATCTTCAACACAAAGAAAACCGTTTACACTTGTCGCTGAATTAATCATTTTATCTTCCACCGTGTACCAACTACCATGCGTATACTCAAGTAATGTTAGTAGCACACATTTATTCATTTTTTAAGAAATAATCACTTCAAGTATTTCGTACATAACCTCAATCTTCTTTTTGAACCGTGGTCGCAAAAGTTGAACTTTGCTACCTCTAAATGAGTCGATATTTGCATGCTTCATGGCTGCTAGTGAAAAAACGTCATTTTTCAGCTTTATTTTTATTTTAAACACCCTAATCAATTAATCGTGTGTAACATTGTTGTGATAATTAGGTATTTTTAGTACACATCAGCTACTAAAATATTTTCCAATCAAAGGTCATCTTCAAATTTAGTTCATCAGATCAGTATGGAAAACCTCTCCCCAACATTTCACATTTCTGACTCCAGAGATTTGAACCAGACGATGATCACTCAGCACTTCTCTCTTTACAAAAAAACTAGCTTTTCCCTGGCGGCTTCGCTCGCGTAGACGATTCGTCGTGTTGAAGAGCATTATTACCAAATTTCAAGTAAAAAATATATTGAAGAGCATAATACAAAGTTTCAAGTAAAAATCGTCATAAAAATATTTTTCCTCATACAAATTTTGTCACCCCCTTTCATCTTCTTAGGGGTGGAATCTCAAAAAAAAATGAAATACGTGTTTTATTATTTATGTTAAAGACTTCTAATACCACGTTCCACGTAAAAATTTACAATAGAAATATTTGTCCCATACAAATTTCGCCAACACTTTTCACACCCTTTGGGGTTGAATCTCGGAAAATGCTTAAATACGTGTTCCATTATGCATTAATACTAAATTCCATGTCAAAAATTTACGATAGAAATATTTTTCCCACATAAACTTAGCCACCACTTTTCACCCCCTTAGTGGTTAAATCTCGGAAGTTTTAAGTAAACATTAGGATAAAGATATTTTTCCCATACAAATGTAACCACATCCCTTAGCAGTTGAATCTCGGAAAATATTGAAACACGTGTTTCATTATTTGTGTGAAGAGCATTAATACCAAATTTTATATGTGCATTATTGAATATCATGTAGATGGTAACGCTAACCAAACTTTGTCTAATCATCCCTACCAATAATATGATGACGTCACTTAAAATCGTACATAGTAAATGGGATTTAAATTGTACTCCTATAAAATAACATAGTCAGTCCTACACGTGTAGTTGCTGAATCCGTATTGGGTTTTTACCGGAAGCGTCCAGATTTTTGGAAAAAAAAAATCAAAAATATGTAACAATATTTTGCAATTTAATTTTGAATCGGCAAAACCGACTGCTTTGAAATCTTTGCAGATGTGTTAAAGTTATCATAACCATGGTAAATTTTTAATCGAAATATATTTGCTTATTCCCCCTAAAAAACTGATGACGTCACCACAAAATTTTGCCGAATAAATCTTATCTAAAATGTGCAAAATATTATGAGTCTATCCATGTATCAGGTGAACACATTCATATTTTTTAGATTTGCTTATACAAGGTGACTCAAAAAAGAATAATGAATGAGTTAATTTATTTTATTGATAAATTAGGAACTGCAACACCAAATGCTTTGAAATCTTTCTGACGTTTTGAAGTTATTGTAAGCATGGTAAATTTTTAATCAAAATATATCTGTTTATCCCCCAAACAATTGATGACGTCAAAATTTTGCCGAAAATTTCGGGAGTAGTTAGTGTAGTCCAGACAACGAGAGCTGAATTCAATTAACAAATCGAGTCCAACGAGTGTCGAGAAAACCCAGTGAATGTTGCGCCGGAATTATTTTTATACATAATCGCTCTGTAATTAGTCGTGTAAATCCGAGTAACTAAGGAATAAATTGTTGAATTTAACCCTCGCCGATTTTATTGACCCGTACAACGTAACAATATTTTTTAGGTTTGCTTATATGTATTGTAAATTTAAATTTTTACGTGAAACTTGGTATTAATAGTCTTTACGAATAATGAAGTATTTTCCGAGATTCAACCCCTAAGAGGGTAAAAAGTGATGGCGAAGTTTGTAAGGGAAAAATATTTCTACTGTAACTTTTATGTGGAACTTGGTATTAATACTCTTCAATACAAATAATGAAGCACGCATTTCAGATATTTTCGAGATTACACCCCTAAGAACATAAACGGGGGTGACAAAGTTTGTATGAGGAAAAATATTTGTATGTCGATTTTTACTGGAAACTTTGTATTAATGCCCTTCAATACATTTTTTTACTTGAAGCTTAGTAATGCTCTTCAACAAAACGAATCGTATACGTGGGCGAAAAGCCAGTAACATAATAAATAATATATGTATCTTATATTATACCTAATAGTTAATAACGAATTGTCTAATTTATCCTGAATAGTATCAAAATAATATTTCTTTATAGGTTTTCTATGTAAACAAAGAGTCTCCTACCTACATTGAACATGGGAAAAAATGTGAATTCCTCGTCACAACATTTGACAATACTTCTGGCCTTCTTGAAAGTCCTCTACACTCCCTTCCTCCGAACACAACTTGCCATTATCACTTTCGAGGACACCCTAAAGAAATAATTTGGATTAGCTTCATCAAGTACCATGTGACCAATGAACGTCTGACAGACTTTAACACGGGCGAATGCGATGTTCAGCTTCAGATTTGGGATGGCGACATTAAATCTGTTAATACAGTTCCACTGATAGGGCAATTTTGCAAAGACGATAAACCAAAGCTTTGCGATCACTCCCTTCTCAAAAACTCTTCAAGACTCACACGACCTTGTGGTTTAAGTGAAAGCTACGTGTCGTCAGGCTCCGACTTAACAATTGCTCATTCAATTAGATATGGAAGCGTGTTATATCCCGTGAGTTTTGTTTTGAGATATGAGTTTGTAGATTTAACGCAAGAGGGCATCCAAATTTCGAGAAATCCTTGTGACCGAATGTTTAAAGAAACTTCAGGAAGGTTATTTTCGCCAAAAATTACTTTCTTGTTTGGAAGAGGAGGACAGAAAGACTTGACGTGCACCTACCACTTTGAATCAGACGAGCAGCAAAGGCTAAAAATTACATTTTTAAAAGCAAGTTTCGGAGATAAGGAATGTGGATCAGTTTACAACCCAGAAATAGGGAGATGGGTATGTGAAGTAAAATCTTTTGGGAATGGCTTCGCTAATTTGAAAATATACGAATATCCGTGGACAGGAGTGGAAATCTTGAGAGACTGTCTTTGCAGTAATTTCAGTGAAACTTTAACTCTTGTGACGAAAACTGCGAGAAAAGTTGTTATAAAATTTTCGGTTACTGGTATGAAAATTACTGATGATTATAAGAATTACTTTTTTGAGGCAAATTATGAATTTATTCCCAGTCATGTAGAAGGAAACTGTTTGAATCCTTGGAAAAGTCGAAGACTTAAAGGCTCTAGTGGCGAGATTTCAGTGCGAAACAATGCACAAACTTTAAAACAGAATGAGCACAGTTACCAACAAAACCAATCAAATGCTTACTGTTTACATCAACCGTGGCTTATTGAACCTGAAGACTCTCTTAGTAATTTTATTTACTTAAAAATCAAAGGTGTTAACAAGAGGGATTCTAGGTTATGTCCAAGTAAAAATCGAATTCTTGTGTATCCAGCAGGAAAAACCGAGGATGTCCGAATTATTTGTCCTTACTATGAAAGCATAGACGATGTAGTTGAGATGTTCTCAGAGGGATGGAATCTCTTCTCATACCGAAAAATCCAAAATAAGAACTCTAGAAGTTTCATTATTGAATTCCTACAAAGAGAAGTAGGAAATTTTGCAGTGACGTGGATGGAAGTGTCAAAAAATCCGGCGTTGACTTTACCAAGCACTCTACTAATGATCAATCCTCCGGACTGTCCTCACAGGTATTTAAATTATTGTGCAAATCGCTTTATTAAATTTCTTTTGCAGTTGTCCGGAGCTAGGAGCTTGCATCAGCTCAGATCTCTGGTGTGACGGCTTACGCCATTGTCCTTCAGGTAACGACGAACAAGAGTCCAATTGTTCGATTCACGCTGGATTTCCTATATCATATCTGAATTCTGTGGCCCTGTGTGCTATAGCTCTAGTAGTGATAACTACTGTTATTATTGTAAGTTTCTATTTCTTCAAACATTGGAGACGTGAACAAAAGAATGTTATTGTATCAGTAACTGAACATACTTTCCTAGAATTTAAGAGTGGTTTGTGTTAAATGGGAAGAGTTAATACTTCATCGACTGACAATATATCTGTTGTAATAAATGTAATATAAAGTTTTTATGGTGAATAAAATCGATAAACTTGACGGAACGTTTCTTGTCCTTTTAGAAAGTTTAAGAAATACAGCAGCCATATTTTACTTCATTCAAATTCCAACAGCAGTGAAAGTGTTGCTACGTATATAATAGGTAGTAAAATTACAGAAAATTGGTGTAAATGAAATAAGATGATGAGGTAGAAGTTCAAATTGTCAGTGTTTTATATATGGGAGAACAAAAGTGTAGATAAAGTCGTAATTAATTCGTCAAGCTGTCTAAATTTATAATGTTCATTTATACTGTCGAGACGGATTTCAGAAAACGGTATTGGGGAAACCGAGTCAGTTGCGCGTGCTAATGCAGATTCTGCTGACAAGTCTTCATTCAGTATCAGACAAATAACAACGGAAAATGGGTATCTTGAATTTCAGATACGCCCGTTAGATTTTTCTCGAAAAAGTGAGACAGTTTAAGTAAACAAAAGAATCCCTAAAGAAAAGAAACATCTCAAAAAATTGTGTTGGCAAAATTTACTGCCTGAACAGTCAATTGAACAAACCTGGCTAGCATTTAGAAACATAAGTACTTCGAGACAATGTTTCAAAGCACTCCACCGTTATCACTGGAAGAAATGTCTTCAATAAAGCCATCGATTGATGTGAAGATTCTAAAATTGGAGAGGATCAAAAGATCCTACCTGTACAACAGGCGTAATTATGTTTTTTTTATAACGGTTTCAAATCTTTCGAGTTTGTGGTGTGCCGCAGGGCTCTAACTTGGGAGCTCTATTTATTTATTAATGACCTACTGCAATCCTTAACTTGTCCTTTGCTTGCTTATGCTGATGATCTTAAAATATTTTCAGGAATATCTTCCAATGAAGACACAGAACTTCTACAGGATAACCTACGCAGTATTACGGAATGGTGTTCTTCTCATGGCCTTAGCCTAAACATAAAAAAGTGTATTGTTTCGTACACTCGAAAATCAAAACCTGTCTTATCAACATATTTCATCAATGGACACATGTTAAAAAATCTGGATTCCATAAAAGATCTTGGGATAACCTTTGACAGTCATTTGACATTTAATCTGCACCTTCAATAAATGTGTCACTCAGCTAATAAGTCGCTTGGTTTTATCGTCGTGTTTTATTATGAGAATATTCAAATTTTTCACTGATACTGGATTGCTAAAATCTTTATTTTTTGCATTTGTATTAAGCGAGTTAGAGTGCGGCTGTCTAATGTGGTATCCTTTGTATTTATGTCATCATGCTTTAATTGAACGAATTCATAAGAAATTTCTGAAGTTTCTCTCCTTCAAGTTGGATGGCATTTATCCCCAAAGGGGCACAGATATGGGTGGTCTTATGCAGCGTCATAAAATGTCGTCACTTTTAATGCGACGGGATAAGTTATGTGCAAATTTTTTAGTTGAACTTGTTAATAACAAGATTGATTGCGCCGATTTACTTTTTTGTGTCAATTTTAACATACCGCGAATCTCATCTAGGCACGAAACTACTTTCCGAACCACAAGAACTCGCACCAACGTGCTCCGCCGTACTCCAGTTGCAACAATGTGCCGTTGCGCCGACAACCTCTTTCAAGATCTGTTTTTTTTTAAATAATGTAATTTTTACTCCTTTTTGGTATCCTTATCTAATTTTCTTTGTATTTCTTTTATTGCCATTATTAATGTTTAGTTAACTGCATAATTATAAAATTAGTTAGTTAGTTTTTGTCCTCTAATTAGCTTCATTATGTTAACCTGTTAGACAAATACATATTATTAATACTATTAATATTATTATTATTAAAAGATCATTATGGTGGGCTTTCAAACAAACGGGTAGCAGAATTGATTACAAAGTTCATTGAATTTTTTCCAATCGACTCTCAACCACAATTAAAGATCGTATAGCTTACGAAAGACGCATTGCTGATCAGCAAGACACGAATCGCTCTTACAAGCATGTTCAATTATCTGGCTTTGTTACCATTCCGCAGTTGAAAGATGAAAATGATTGTTGTTAGAGCCTCTGGCGGGGACCTGTTTCACCCCTCCCCACCCGTAAGGGTGGGAGCCAGAGCCACCCCCACCTTGGAACAAACTTCGACAATTGTGTCATCGATGATTGTGCTAGGGTGAGCGACATTTTTGCGCAAACTTTGTCCAATGAATTCACGGTTCCGCCAAACAACATGCGTCCCAGCTTAGCTGGCCCCAGTCACAGTCTCTATTTTGACAGTGACGTATTCCCAGAAACGGTTCTTTCCCCGAAATTGAAAAAATTCAAATGTACCAAGTCACCTGGTCTGCAGGAAATAATGCCTTGATTTTCACTTTGACCAATAATAGTTATTTACGTGGCAAGCTTAGTAAATTAGCCTTTACGGGCGAGCCGGAATGTTTGCAGGGCGAGCGACGTAGGAGCGAGCCCTGTAATCCGGTGAGCCCCAGTAAAGGCTAGTTGCAAGCGAGCCGCGTACAACGTTTTACTTCCTCTTGCTGAAAATCCTGAAAATGAACAACTTTGACATCTCTAGAAATTTTACTTGAAATTACAGTCATAGAAATTGTAGTTATTTTTCATAGTTTGCTCCGGTAACTATGGAAAATTGAATTGTTTGAAAATAACGGGACTGTCAATTTGTAAATTCGATTAATAATAATTTAAATAGTTTAATTTTGTTTCTGACCTCTGTTAATTGTGGAATTCGATAAAGATGAAGAGTTTGAAGGTGATTTTAACGTTAGTATTAGCACAGTATTAGTGAGATTAAGAAAAAGGCCGACACAGCGAATGTGTGTTTGATTCCGGTGCTGTCATGATAACGTTTTACAGGCAAGGTGCCTGTAAAGCTGCCACAGTAACGCTTTACAGGCAGGGTGCGTGTAAAGGCTAATTTACCGAGTTAGTTCAGACGACAGTAAACGAGCTTTAACAAGACAAGAGGAAGTAAAAAAGTATAATTTTCTTCTGAGCAAATCCATCAGATCCAATCTTCTTTGTTGCCTTTCTGACTGGACAAGAGAACTTGACAGGGGTAAATCGGTTGATGTCATCTACTTGGATTTTTCTAGGGCGTTGGATTGTGGGCCCAAACGTCATCTGCTATGCTATACTCCAGTATTTAGGAATCCGAAGAAATATCTACTAGCGGATTAACGCGCTCTTGGCGAAATGGACTTTCAGAGTTAAGGTCGGTAACTAACTCCTTAGAGGTCTTAAGTAGGTAGTGTTCCGCAGGGATTTGTTTTAGGTCGCTACCGTTTATAGTTTACCCAGCTGATTTAAAAACTAAGCGATATCTGGATGGCTTTGTTTCAAGATCTTCTGTAGTTGTGGAAATGGATAGTTACTTCCACTTAATTTCCCTATATGTACATTGGGAACACCAATCCCCAACTTAGCTATTTGGTGGAAGGTGCAGACTTGTCTAAATCTAATTCCCACGTTGACTTAGGGGTACTTGTTACGCTCACTCTTTCTTGAATACCACCAGAAAGGCTAACAAAATGGTGTACCTGTTGGGTAAAGTGTTTGCGAGAAGTCACATATCCAACATTAGACATCAGGTCGATGTCATCTACAGCGATTTTTCAAAGGCGTTCGATAAGATTGATCATAATTAATAATGAAATTGGAATGTTTTGGATTTTCAGTTGAATTAATTTCTTTAATAAAATCTTCTTTAAAAGACCGTTTTATGTATGTTCAGTTGAATGCAAAGAAGACATTAATTTGGGATACAACTTTTTTATATTTTTCTGCCTTCACCGTGACAATATTATTTTAACCTCCGGTTTCTTTGTTACCTCTGCATTTAGGTAGGTACTCTAAAAACCATCGACGCCAAAAATGTTGTTTGAGTTGCTGAACACACTGCCAATGGGTCAAGCGATTGGTTGGAACATCCACCAAATTTTCTTGTGGCAACGTAGTTAGTGGACTCCCAATTCAAAAATGTCTAGGAGATGTGATAGGTCGTTGGGATCATTTGAGAGAGACATTAAGGAATGAGAATTCAAACATGGTTTAAGTTTGGCTATATAGGTATAAAACTGATCGTTAATAAGGCAGTTTTTGAAATTCGGCTAATATGGTATTTTGCCGACAAGAGTGACAATCAGAACGAAAAAGACCATAACGTGGGTTGCGCAGTAAAGCAAGTTACGTTGGTAGAGTCTTTTCATAGCTCTCGGGGGATAGAAACATACGGTAATAGCGCCGTTAATTTATTTTACTTTTGTACTGTCTTCGTGTGTCTCATGTCTCTTGTTTTTTTACGTTATTATGATTTATTTTGCTACTTTGTATTTATTAACGTTAAGAATTTTGTTTAATAAAGTCCTCAGAGCATTTATTATTTTATTTTTCACTCGTCTATAATATTTGTTTTATATCCATGATTTGATGGACGTAAAACGGCCTGTTATAGCCGGGGCATAATGAGCGGGAATAAGAAATTATTATGCCCTCTCAATATGCCCTATTTTGCTAAACCGAATTAAACAAAAATTTTAAAATGTATTCTTTATTTAACTACATATTCATTTATTGACAATTTATTTAATTATGGAAATGGAAATTACAATTTACAAACTTGCTATTCATGCCAAAATTTTCAGGTAAACTTAATCTCCGTGCGGTTTCTTCTGTTGGAATTATTTCTGCCTCTGTTTCCATTCTGCTAGCACCTAGCACCTAATAAATAAAGTATTATATAAAAATCCAGAATTATGTGTATTTGGAGTACTCACCTCTTTGTTGTATGCATAAATCTTCTCCGTTGATTTTGTCCTCTCATTTGGAGGAAGCCTGATATTTTGTTGTCACAGTGCTGGCAATTACATTAGCTGTTTTATTTTTTGACACCACACTTTCTACAATATAGCCTTCTGCGTCTGTAGTACTTTTCCATGTTCCGAATAATTTTAAGCATCTGGCTCCACCAACAATGTTGCAGGGGTGTATTCTTTAGCATTTTCTTAATTCGAAAACTTTGCTATAGTCATTAATACACTACCTAACGTGTTT